TTAACATTTTTAAATAAAAAAAATTGAAAATTGACATTTTTAAATAAAAAAATTAAAAGTTAATATCTTTATTTAGAATCTAACAAAATCAACATTCTTAAGTAGGAAAAAAAATAAAGTTGGCATCCTTATTTGCACATTTTCTCTGTTGAAGTATATGAATGGGAAAATAATCTTCTTAACTGAGCTATGGCTGTTAAATAAACTTTAGTTTGGATGTTTGTATTTTGTAATTGCAAGCTTGTTTTTTGTATGGTTCTATAACCAGTGGATGTAATGAATTTAAGGTATCCTCTGTACTTCCTTAATAAATTATTTTCTAATAATAAAAAAAAAAAAGAGAAAGAAAAAGGATACATATAATTGTTGTAGAAAGTGGAAACTGCTGAGTTGAATCAATTAATAATATGCGGGACCCATTTATGACACAACTCGGAGTCATGGACTAGTTGCTTTTGCTTACTTGTGTATATAAAGGTCAAAGGTGTGTTGCCGGTAATGCAAGGAGACAGTAGCAGTACTTAATTGGTGGTTGATCTGAGAATATTTTGATGGAGTCGAAATGGTTAATTTATGTATTATTTACGCTCTTCGTGTTAGAAGGGCTGGGGTGCCAAGGGTGTTGGGACCAAGAGAGAACTGCTCTCCTCCAACTCAAGTCTTTTTTCACTAAACCTGCGCAACTAAAAAACTGGGAGAGAGGAGAGCAAAATTTAGATTGTTGTCAATGGAAGGGGATTGAGTGCAACTCGACCTCTGGACGAGTCATAACACTCAATCTCAGTTACTCATTGTTCGAAGAAGAACTTGATCGTTACCTGTCTCCACCGGATGGCTCTATGGAATTGAGGAATGTCATGTATCTAAATGCGTCTTTGTTTCTTCCATTTGTGGAATTGAAGAGTCTCCATTTGGCTAGAAATGGAATAGCTGGTTGCATGGAAAATGAAGGTTTTAATCTGTCTTTCAACTTAATTTCATCTTTTACTTAAACAAAAAAAAGCCATTTGTTTATCATTTCATCTTTATTATTTTTTGGTGTAGTTTCAAATTTTTATATTTGTGGCTCCCAAAACTGAATTAGCAAGTAGCTTGAATGTTGCAAGAAATTGTTTTGCAAGTTTTTTGAGAGGCTTTCTAAGTTGAGGAATTTGGAAATCCTTAATTTAAAAAGCAATCAATTGAACAATAATGTCTTATCATCTTTTAGTGAGCTTTCATCCCTTAAGTGTCTATATTTAGCCAACGATGGAATCCAAGCATCTAACCATGCTGATAGTATATTTATACATTTTTGACTTATAAAAACTTGTTACCTGTTTCCTTATTGTTTCATCTTAATATTTTTGTATGGCTCCAAAATTAAATTAATCATTTTACATATTGTAGGTTTGGAGAAGCTTTCTACGTTGAGGAATTTGGAAATTATTAATCTATATGGCAATCAATTGAACAATAGTATCTTATCATCTTTGAGTGAGCTTCCCTCTCTCAAGTCTCTATGTTTAGCCTACAACAATTTGCAAGCATCTAACCATGCTGACGGTATAATTGTCTATTTTTTACTTATAGAAACCTATTTCCTTATTGTTTCATCTTAATATTTATGTGTGGCTCCAAAATTAAATTAATAATTGTACATTTTGCAAGTTTCAAGAAGTTTTCTAAGTTAAGGAATCTAGAAATTCTTGATCTATATAACAATCAATTGAACAATAGTATCTTAAGATTTTTGAGTGAGCTTCCATCTCTCAAGTCCCTATATCTAAGCGACAACAATTTCCAAGCATCTAACCATGCTAATGGTATAATTGTCCATTTTTCACTTATAGAAACCTATTTACTTATTGTTTCATTTTAATATTTATGTGTGGCTTCAAAATTGAATTAATAATTGTACATATTGCAAGTTGTGAGAGACTTTCTAAGTTGAAAAATTTAGAAATCCTTGATCTACGCTACAATATGTTGAATAATAGTAACTTATCATTTTTGAGTGAGGTTCCATCTCTCAAGTCCCTAAATCTAGCCTAGAGCAACTTATTAGCATCAAACTATGGTACAGTTTTGACTTTATGCTTTATGCTAAGACTTCAAAGTCAATAATTTCAATTACCATTTTGATTTTTTTTTTGCAATATAATTAATCTATTTATTAGTAATGAACGTATAAGTTCTTCCTTCCCTTGATAATCTCATCTCAATAAAAGCCAATTTGTTACGATTTTTTAAAATATATTTTTAATGAAATAAGGAATTAAAGAGAAAGAAAAAGGATACGTATAATTGTTGTGGAAAGCGAAAACTGCTAAGTTGAAATAAGAATGTGCGGAACCCATTTATGACAAAAAATGGAATCATGGAATAGATGCTTACTTGTGTATATAAAAGTCTAAAGTGAATTGCTGGTAATGGCCCGGAGATATATAGTAGCAATACTTGGCGGTTGATCTGAGCTTATTTTGATGGAGTTGAAATGGTTAATGTATTTGCCACTTACACTCTTCTTAGTAGGTGGGCAGTGGTGCCAAGGGTGTTGGGACCGATAGTGAATTACCCTCCTCCAAGTCAAAACGTTTCTTCAATTCCATTTTTTCTCTAAGAAACTGGGTGAGAGGAGAGGAAAAATACAGATTATTGTCAATAGAAGAAGGTTGATTACAACTTTCACCACAAGACTAGTCATGTCACTCATCCCTACCTTCACACAGGCTGAAGCATATGATAGTAGTTTCACCGACATGTATCTGAATGCCTATTCGTTTCTTCCATTTGAGGAGGAGTTGAAGTCTCACTTTGAATTTTAATTGAATAGCTAGTTGCATATTGAAAATGAAGGTTTTTATCTACCGTTCAACTTAGTTAATATTGTGATTATCAATGATCGAGCACTTCAATATGCGTATGATTGGTATATTCACCTCATTCTTGTTGTCCTATCCTACATTTTATTTATGTGTTATTTTTTTAATTGAACCAAAATTACAATTCTTGTGATCTACTTGCAGGGTTTCTTATGCTTTCAAAGAAGTTCAGCCATTTGGAAATCCTTAACTTGGAAGGAAATTTCTTCGATAACAACATTTTGTTGTATTTGACTGAGTTTTTATCTCTCAAGTCTCTAAATCTAGCTTCCAACAAACTCCAAGCATCCAACCATGTTGATAGTATACATATCCACCTTTTACTTATTAAAACCTAGGCCCTTATTCTTTCATCTTAATATATATGTGGCTCCAAAATTAAATTAATAATTGTACGTATTGCAGGTTTCGAGAGGTTTTCTAAATTAAGAAAATTGGAATTCCTCGATCTAAGTTATAATATGTTGACCAATAATAGTATCTTATCATCTTTGAGTGAGCTTCCATCTCTCAAGTTTTTACATCTAGCTGAATACGAACTTCAAGCCTCCAGCGATGCTGATGGTATAAATGCCCCCCTCTCTCTTATAGAATCCATTTCCTTATTGTTTCATCTTAATATATATGTGACTTCAAAACTGAACAAATAATTATATGTATTGCAAGCTTTGAGAGCCTTTTCTATCTTGAGAAAACTTGCGAATCCTCGATCTAAATCACAGTAAGTTCGACAATAGTGTCTTATCATGCTTGAGTGGTAACTAGAACAACTTACTAACTCCAAACTATGATACAATTTTAACTTTATGTTATATGCTTAGCACAATTTGACGCTGGTGGACAACAAGCTTTAATTGTTAATTTGTGACAGCTGATTTAGAAAAGCTGTCAAGACTAAACCATTTGGAGGTGCTTGACCTACATGGAAGAATAAACTTCAGCTACAACATCCTATCATCTTTGGCAAGTCTTCCATCTTTAAAAGCTTTATCCCTAGGACATGGTAAAATAAAAATGAACCCAAGTAAAAGCGGTAAGCTTGCTTTAGCTCTATTTTATTATTACAATTATAATTTTTCCTTTCAAAAATGTGTCATCTTGTTATATTTTATTGGCCTAAAAATTTTTATGGTAAATTTTCATCTTTAGTGTAATTTCTTTTCCATCTTCTTAGAATACTTTTCCTAGAAATATATGTTCTTACTCTAAATTTATTAATTATAACGAAAGATTGCAAGAATATAATTAATTGCTTTTCTTATTAGGTTTTCATAACTTGTCCAAAGTGGAAGAGTTGTTTCTGGATAATGATATCCTCCCAACCAACTTCCTTCATGGCATTAGAGCATTGACTTCTCTCAAGGTTCTATCATTGTCCAACTGCAGACTCAATGACTCCTTAACACTCCAAGGTTAGTTACAATAGTGTCTTATCATCCTTGAGTGGTAACTAGAAAAACTCAATGGCTTCAAACCATGATATAGTTTTAATTTTATGTTATATGCTTAGCAAAATTAGACGCTGGTAGACAACAAGCTTTGATTGTTGATTTGTGACAGTAGATTTAGAAAAGCTGTCAAGACTAGACCATTTGGAGGTGCTAGACCTATGTGGAAGAATAAACTTCAACTACAACATCCTATCATCTTTGACAAGTCTTCCATCTTTAAAAGCTTTATCCCTAGGAGATTGGAAAATAAAACTAAACCCGAGTAAAAGAGGTAAGCTTGCTTTATTTCCTTTTTATTATTACAATTATAATTTTTCCTTTCAAAAATGTGTCATCTTGTTATATTTTATTGAGCTAAAAATTTTTATGGTAAATTTTCATCTTTAGTGTAATTTCTTTTCCATCTTCTTAGAATATTTTTCTTAGAAATATATATATGTTCTTGCTCTAAATTTATTAATTATGACGGAAGATTGCAAGAATATAATTAATTGCTTTTCTTATTAGGTTTTCATAACTTGTCCAAAGTGGAAGAGTTGATGCTGTTTAGTTCTATCCTCCCAACCAACTTCTTTCATGGCATTGGAGCATTGACTTCTCTTAGGGTTTTAAAACTGTACGACTGCGGACTCAATGACTCCTTAACACTCCAAGGTTAGTTACAAATTTAAAGAAATAAGAACCAATGTCCAGATTTTACCATTTTTTCTCAATATATATACATATATATTTGAAGCTATGACGGAAGATTGCAAGAATATAATTAATTGCTTTTCTTATTAGGTTTTCATAACTTGTCCAAAGTGGAAGAGTTGATTCTGTTTACTTCTATCCTCCCAACCAACTTCTTTCATGGCATTGGAGCATTGACTTCTCTTAGGGTTCTAACACTGTATGACTGCGGACTCAATGACTCCTTAACACTCCAAGGTTAGTTAGAAATTTAAAGAAATAAGAATCAATGTCCAGATTTTACCATTTTTTCTCAATATATATACATATATATTTGGAGCTATATCACTAACTTTGTAAGTGCTGTGTGAACATTCACAGGCTTGAGTGAATTGACACATCTTGAAGAGTTGGATGTTGGCAAAAATTATTTAGGGGGAGCCCTGCTTTCATGTTTGTCAAATTTGACTTCTCTCCTAAGCTTAAACCTCGATTCAAACGAATTTTCTGGAGATATAGCTCTATCACCCCTTAACAAATTGACATCCCTTCAATATCTATCCCTTTTAGACAATCACTTCCAAATTCCCATCTCCCTTCAACCTTTCTTCAACCATTCAAAACTCAAGCATCTTTATGCTGAAAATAATGTATTTTACATAGATACCAACATTGAATCTTTGGAACCAACTTTCCAACTAAATACCTTAGTTTTGTCTGGTTGTGGAGATTGTGGAGCAATTCCAAACTTCCTCTACTCTCAACACCACTTGGAGTATTTACATCTCTCACACCTTAACCTAACTGGAGAGTTTCCCATTTGGTTGTTGGAAAATAACACGAGGTTGAAAACACTTTCGTTGGTTAACAATTCTCTCTTTGGACTTATTGAGCTGCCAACTCATTCTCATATGAGTTTGGAACATCTAGATATCTCTAATAATTTCTTGGATGGCCATATTCCAATGGAGATCGGAGCATCTTTGCCAAGTTTACTAGATTTAAACATTTCAGAAAATTCTCTTATTGGTAACATTCCTCCTTCAATTGGTGATATGGAGTTGCTGCAGTCTTTGGACTTATCTCACAATAACCTATCTGGCAGCATTCCTCCTTCAATTGGTGATATGGAGTTGTTGCGGTCTTTGGACTTATCTC